GAAAACTTGACATAACCAACATAACAAAATACAAGCAATCAAAATAAACCATCATAGGACATACAATTATGTAACCAAGATAGGCCTTCATATATACAACAATACAAGCAACTAAGTTAACAAAATACAAGAAATTACAAGCGACGACGATTATCTTAACAAAGCACAATACAAGTGCCCAACATAAGATAATACAAACGACCAAGATAACCCTACATAGCACTTTACAGGCAAGGATGAACCAATACAAGATAATACAAACAACCAAGACAACCTAACAAAAGATAATACGAGTGAATAAGTTAACGCAAAAAAAGCACAATACAAGCGAAGATAAACCAACAGAAGAGAATGCAAACGACCAAGATAACCAATCATAGCACAATATATATATACGCGAACAAGATAACTCATCATAACACGATACAAGCGACCAAATATAACTCAAAATAACACGATACAAGTGACCAAGATAACCAATTATGCATAAGCCATTAAAACATATCCAAACATAGGACAATATGAACGACTCAGATAACCCAACACGAACAATACTGGCGACTAAGTTAACACATCATAGAACAATACAAGCGACCAAAAAAAAACCTTCATAGAACAATACAAGCGACCAAGACAGCCCGTCGTAGTTCAGAACAAGAGATCAAGACAACCAATCGTAGCACAATACATTTGATCAAGACAACACATCATAAGACAATATCGACAAATATGTCCCATCGTTGACTGATACAATCAACAAATATTACCCATCATTGGACGATACAACCAACAGATATTACCCATCATTGGACGATACAAGCGACCAAGATAACCCATCACAGGACAATACAAGCGACTGAGATAACTCATCATTGGACGATACAAGTGACCAAGATAACCCATCACAGGACAATACAAGCGACTTGAGATAATCCACGATAGGACAATACAAGTGAACAAGATAACGACTGCGAAAACCCACCATTGGCCAATATACGTGAACAAGATAACCCAACGCAGGACAATACAAGCGACTAAGGTAACCCATCATTGGACGATACAAGTGACCAAGATAACCCAACACAGGACAATACAAGCGACTGAGGTAACCCATCATTGGACGATACAAGCGACCAAGATAACCCATCATTGGACAATACACGTGAACAAGATAACCCATCACAGGACAATACAAGCGAATTGAGATAATCTACCATATGAAAATACAAGCGACTTAGATAACCCATCACAGGACATTACAAGCGACCAAGATAACCCATCACAGGACAATACAAGCGACTGAGATAACCCATCATAGGACAATACAAGCGACTGAGATAACTCATCACAGGACAATACAAGCGACTGAGATAACCCATCATAGGACGATACAAGCGACCAAGATAACCCATCACAGGACAATACAAACGCAATACAAGCGACTTAGATAATCCATCATAGGATAATACAAATGGCTGAAATAACCCATCACAGGACAATACAAGCGACTGAGATAACCATCATATGACAATACAAGCGACTAAGTTAACCCATCACCGGACAATACAAGCGACTGAGATAACCCATCACCGGACAATGCAAGCGACTGAGATAACCCATCATATAGCACAATACAAGCGACTAAGATAACCCATCATAGTACAAAACACGAGAACAAGATAACCCATCATAGGACAATACAAGCGACTGAGATAACACATCATATTGGACAATACACGTGAACAAGATAACCAATCACAGGACAACACAAGCGACTAAGTTAACCCATCACAGGACAATACAAGCGACTTGAGATAATCCATCATAGGACAATACAAGCGACTGTGATAATCAATCATAGAGCAATACAAGCGACTTACATAACTCATCATAGGACAATACACGTGAACAAGATAACCCATCAAAGGACAATACAAGTGCATGATTCGAACTCACAACATCAGTGTTGACAGGCTACTGGTACAGTAGTTCGAATGCTTAGATCACTTGGCCACCGAGACCCCTTACAATATACGTGACCATGATAACCCATCATAAGACAATAAACGCGACTACGATAAACCATCATAGGACAATACAAGCGACCAAGGTAACCCATCATAAGAAAATACCCGCGAACAAGATAACCCATGCACAATAGCACAATACACGCGACCAAAATCACCCATCATAGGAAAATATACGCGACCAAGATCACCAATCATAGCACAATATACGCGTCCAAGATAACCCATCATAGAACAATTCAAGCGACCAAGATAAACCATCATAGCACAATATACGCGACCAAGATAACCAATCACAGCATAATATACGCGACTAAGATAAGCCAGCATAGCACAATATACGCGACCAAGATAACCCATCACAGCACAATATACGCGACTAAGATAAGCCATCATAGCACAATACAAGTTACTAAGATAACCCATCATAAGATAATACAAACAACAAAGATAACCCATCTAAGCGCAATATATAGCAAAATAACCCATCAAAGAACAATACAAGCGACCAAGATAATCCCTCATAGCAGGCGACTAAGATAACCCATCATATTAGCACAATACACGCGACTAAGATAACCCATCATATTAGCACAATACACGCGACTAAAATAACCCATAGAAGGACAATACAAGCGACTAAGATACCACATTATACCACAATATACGCGACCAAGATAACCCTTCATAGGACAATACAAGCGACAAATATTACCCATCATTGGGCATAACAAGCGACCAAAATAACACATCATAACACAACATTTTCGAACCAATTTTCGACTAAGATAAACCATGATACTAGGACAATATACGCGACCAAAATATTAGTAACCCATCATAGGATAATACAAGCGACCAAGATAAAATTGAGAATGGAAATGGGGAATGTGTCAAAGATACATCGACCCGACCAAAGAGCAGAAAACAGCACCCGTTATATCACAAAAAACGCTATTAAGATGAACCATCATTGGACAATACAAGCTGCCAAAATTGCCCATCATAAGACAATACAAGCGACCAAGATAAAATAACCGGACAAAGTTTCTGAACATTATACAATACCAGGCAATTCAAAAGCGACCAAGATACCTCAACACAAGCGACCAAGATAACTTAATGTTAGACAATTGAACAAAAGAAGTTGAGGACGATGAAATTATACATGAAATATTTTGCGTAACATTTTGACCCAATTGTCTTACAATGACTTCGAAAGAGTGGTACAATAGAACAGCAAACATACCTTATAATTTTCCTATAATTTCAGAAATGGCAGAAACTGTATCGTTGTTTCCATGTAGTGTGAGATGTCCCCGTTCTTCTTATAATGGTTAATCACCAGATATTACTCATCAATGTAATTTAACAAAAGTAACACGACGGATGTCACAAGTGGAGCAGAAATTGCTGATCCTTTCTATGTAAGCTTAGTCATCAGATAGGACTTATCAATGTATTTCAACAGGAGTAAAACGACGGGTGCCACTGGTTGACCAGAATATGTTGACCCATCCGGATGAAATAAGATCGCCTCATTCTTTTTTATTGTGGGGTTCGTGTTATTCAATATTTGGTCTTCTATGTAGTGTTTTGTGCACTGATGTTTGTCTTTTCATGGTTTTTATGTTTGGTCATGATGATGTCGGTTTTCTTCGACTTGTGTGGGGTTTTTTTTATTGTCCACTTGGTATCTTCTCTATGATTTTGAAAGGTATTGGCATAGTATGCGTAGAGAAAAGTTAAAGCATGTGTACTCAGACCAGAAATTATCTGATGAAAAATAAGTAACATGTGCTGCCAATGAAGACAAGTTTTTTTTTTAATACAGTTAAATATAAATTTGGTAGTTACATTTTTTGTCTACGTATTTCAACTAAAATGCAATGGTTCATTCATGAAACATCTTCTTCCTTTTCCTCGTATAAAAGTAATACCTATATATCGTAAACGTTGACTAAAAATAACACAAGTTGGCTGTCTCAAGCCAGGAACCTTGTTAGTGGTTTCTTTTTGTCATTTTGAGAATGTGTTGTTAATGACAAATACTTTATATTCCCTGTTGAATTTAGTCTTTTTTTTCTGTCATATTAAGCCGATTTAGATATTGACATATTGTATAGCCACCTGTCTATTGTTGAAGTTTGTATGCTGAACTCTTCGTGTCTTTTTGTGATTCTTTTTTTTATGTCATTGGTAGGCTGACTATACTATCAGTTACTATAGCTCAAATCTCCTGATACTATCATCATGATCATGCACAAGTCTGATTTAGTTTGATATACTGCTAACCTTATCCTCTTTTAAAAGTGAAATTGTATTTTTATCCCATGTATTACTGTATTTGCTTTTTCCATAGTACCCATCAAAAATCAAACGAGTTATCATTATTACAAATTTTAGCACGTTTTCCAAATCATTCACGTTTTCAAAGAAAAGACTGAACAAATTTAAAATGTTTTTTCGTTAAAATTTGTAGTATTGTGTATATCTCAACTGGTTTAGTTCTTGGTGTCTGTACATCTTCTAAAATATTGTGCAGTAGTAACGACAATATGAATCATTTAAAATATCCACATATAGATTTATAATAATCTAGTGTAAAAATATATAAATTTATGTGCCTCGCAAAATTTTGAAATAATAAATATTTTAGGAATTACATTTCCTAAGAATTTCACCAAACAGAAATGTTAATGAACAGAAAAATGCTGACGACAGTTATATTTTTCAAATAAAAGTAATTTGCAATATTGCACTAGAAATTTTAAATATTCATATTATGAAATAAGATCTACTTTAATACGACCATTAAGTCTCTTCATTGATTGATATGAATAAGTTATTTTCACTGCACAAACATCTGTTTCTGCTATCTATAATAGTCAAAAGTTCAACAAGATACATGTAAATTGTACTTGTCGTTAGAAGTAAAACAATGCAACTATCCATAAAATAATACATGACAAGTTTTTATCTTCAATATTTTATATATTTCTAGCACCAACCAAACACATTAAGCTGAACAAAATTTTCCAATAAAACAAATTTCTCAACTAATGTCATTTTGCTTAAATGTTTGGGAAAACAAGGAATGAGGAAAATAAGAAAAAAACAAAGTCAAATAAATATCACAGAAACGCCATAATACTTAACATATCAACAAGAAAACAGAAAAACTGTCGATTAGTGAATAACTCTGTATGATTCCATGTTTTCTGAATATAGCAATGCATCAATCATCGGTACCGAATGCAACATAACGCTGAGAAGAACATCTGGCATATCTTTTGATCGTAATTTCTCAGCCGGTGGTTATTCAGAACTCTCTCAGCGCTAAATATATCGATGTAAGTCGTCGTCTGCTTTGTCCAGATGTTACTTTATCGGCTGCCATGGACTCGGAATCCTTATCTCATCATGCTATCAGTTTACACAGCGTGGGGGTATTAATGTCTCCTTCTAGCCCTTCCCTCCGTTTGAATTGTAGAAGTACACATATCCACACAATCTGCAAATGACACATTCTCTACCTTTCCGTTCAAATCATCACCTGCTAATTTCCCTAATGCCATAATGTAACTACAAGCTATCCGTAATATTGCTAATTTAGAAAGTTTCTGATTATAAGAATAAGATGGCACTGCTTTCCTTAAAGCGTCAAATGCTGCACTTATAGTGTGAACTCTTGTCCTTTCGCGTGCATTTGCTTCAATTCTACGTTCCCGTGTCATGTTTTTATAATTTTTCCTATTTCTTCTACCCGAGACACTTTCGTTGTCATCATCGTCAATATTGTCATCGTCTTGAACAGTTTGTGGTGGTTCATTATTGCTTAATTGAACACTTTCATTTAGTTTATGAACACTTTCATCATAATTAGTAATATTATTATTAGATAAATCCAAACCAGCAGCGGTGAAAGAATGCACACGTCCATAAGCTGGATGAAGTCCAGGCATTAAATAAGCCGGAGGAAAATGTCCTGGATAAAACATCATTCCATGAGGTACTGAAGGAGGAGATATAGAATCACTACTCCCTGTTTGTTCTAATCTGTCTGAATTACCCCTGGGGGTGTCCACACTATCCTCCGATCCAGCATCCTCACTTTTACCACTTTCAGAACATGCACTACCAGGACTATCCGGACAAAATCGCTTAATACTAAAATCAGTCCTTTTCCTGGGTTCACTACTTTTCCTTTTATTTTTCCTAGTAGGTGTATCCATTAATGAATTACTTTTGACACTCCCTTGTCCCGTGGGCGAGGGATAATTCTCTGGTGAGGATGTAAGCCGTTCACAGGTGTTTGCATCTTCAGTCATAATGAAGTGAATGCCGTCTGTTGATCAACTGTGCCGAGCTTTATGCGATCGTTAACTTGTTTACACTGTGGTCTAGTCATTGAGTCTGCCAGATGGTATATGTTAAAGAATTCCTCAGATGCGTGTTATTTATTGACTAATCTCGAACAGATAGCTATCAACGTTATAGATAGGTGATACGAAAATTAACAGTTGGACAAAAGTCAATCGTCCGGAGCGCAGTCAATAGTTACAGTATTAATGCACTTTTTGACAACTGTGTTATAATTAAACTAAAGTAAATGAGAATGTTTTTATTCGATAATAAATATGAAAAGTCGCCAGGTGGTTTAATCGCAAATTCAATATCAGTTATAGGACGAATCCATTTTGTGTTTATAGGGAATTTTTGACAATACTAAAAATCTGGAAAGTATTATTTTTGCCTAAGGAATTTTCGCGTCAACGTATGAAAGATTAGGTTGATTTCTAAAGTCGCCAGTAATTTAAGGTGATCTTTGCCCGGGGTCTACAAATTTCAAAAAAGTAAACCATAAGAGGCTTGTGACACTATTAAATATTTCTTATAATTACACCAAAATTTGAATAGAATGACCAGTGAAACATATAAGTATGGCTAAACATCTGGAAGAAAATTTAAATAATTAGACAGGAGATTTTAACACCTCTTTAGGGTCAGTATTAAATATTTAAGAACAGGATTAAGTATTTTAATCACCCTTTTAACTTTCAAAAGTATTTTGATTATATTTTACCACCTGCTAATCTGTAAAGGTGTAGAAAACGATCCTCTTGTAACCACTTAATATAGACTGGCTTTACATTTTAAGTTTTTTAACTAACCATATGCTGATAATTGTAGTTTTCGTAAAACAGGTGGTTATTTGTGAAGTTAACAGAAAATCAGACAATGGTTACAATTTATCATTTTATTTTCAGAATAAGCACACAAGTGGACGGAGCAGTATAAAGTTGAAAAATTGACGTGATCGGATTTATTTTGCCAGCACGCTAGATCAAATGGAAGGTTGACCAGCTGTCATTCTCTTATCGTTGCTGTCATATTAATTATGAAGATTCCCTGGGGGCGTTTATTGCCACATTGTCCTTTATCAGATTATATCATTTCGTTTAATCATTCTGTCAATACGATTAAATCAAATAATACTACTTATTTGACAAAGGTGTTATGTAGAAATTTCTAATTTTTTATTCCGTGATAAATCATTCTACTGGCGACATTATAAATGCCCCGAATCATATAATTATGGTATAAAATTGCTCCATTATAAAACTGTTGTTTGTTGTTTATATTCGTTGGTGGTGGATTCATTTACATGCGGGAGACGACACTAATTTGCTAGTAAATTATTTGTGGGCATGTTAACAGGTGTACTAGGAGAATTTGTACCTTCGGCTATTGATATTAAATATTTGTCATGATCAATAATCTACGGGTCATCTAAACATATGGTATAAACAGGTGGTCTGGTCCCTGTGATTATACAGAGTCAAAAGTTTAAGATTAAAGATCTTATATCTGTAGTCATGTGTCCATATTATCAACTTAACACTTACAGTAAAAATTAGTCACAAATGTATACTCAAACCTGGGAATATTATACTAACATATATATTCCAACTCAAAACAATCATAGAAATGAGATCAAAAATAAAATTCAAGATAAAAATAAGAAGATGTGGTATGAATACCACTGAGACATCTTTCCATACAGACCAAAAGACTAAGATTTGAACAATAACATATCATCTATAAATATTGAATATACAAAGCTCGTGCAATATAACGCGTTATTCAAGTGTAAATCTAACAAGGTTATGAAATTAACAACCAAATAGAGATATGCTATTGTGGATGCATAACCATAAATAGATTTTTTCAAAAGCTACAATCGACTGATAAGTTCAAAGACTAAAGTCAACAGATAGTCAATTTGTTCAACGAAGTTCACATTTATTTTTTCCGAAAAGAAACTATAAAACTCGAAAGTTACAGCAAATGGTACAGGAACTTTGCTCTCTTAGAACATAATGAGGATCATATATTTCTAGTCGATGCCCTCAAACAACGGATGACATTTATTTACATTATGTGTTTGTAAATTTATATGTTTTCTGCCTCCCACAACCATTATCATCAGAGAATAACATCAATTCACTTGTGTGCCCATGCGCATTATGAAAAAGAAACACCTGTTATCCGAACTGATAAATTTTTAACGTAAGATAAAACTTAATTAGGAAGGTTTGTAATTAAAATTAACGAGCCTTGGTATTAAGTTACTATTCACGTTTATATCTCGTCAACAATTTGACACGGTACATGTTCGATGTAGGTTTAAAGGCGCCATTCTATAGGCGCTACAGAAATGTCTACTGTTAACAAGTTTAATTGTTTTATCGTTTGTCGAGGGAAAATAAATTATAACGGTTGATAATTCGACTGTGAAATGATTATGTAAAACGAGTGACAGTTACAGCTTTATTATTTTTCAAACTAAACAGAAGCCAGATAAGCGTCTGTGCACGCAATCGTTAAATATTATTTACAGTTGTGAAATATTTTTATTGCTATAAAGTCTTATCTAAACAGGTATACGGTGAGAGCCCTCACACCTAATTTGTCACAAAATCTGGTACGATAAACCGATGAAATAATAGTTATTAGTGTGAATAATTCCTTCACTCTTTTCAAAAGCTTATTTACACCTCTTCTTAAGAAAAAGCGTTGACCGAGTACGGCGTCGAAATGTCTGCATACCAAAGCATTAATATGACTGCAGGTTGTACGTTATTTGTTCAGTGGGTCTAAGAATCACAAATAACACATTATATTCTAGATAACTCGTACATCAAAAAGCTCTTCTACCATTGTAGGACGAATCCAATTATTTGACAAACGGCAGTCGATAGACAACCACCTGTGCCGTAGAAAACTAATCAATACACAGTTTTTATCCTGTTTATAAGTAGAATGTATATAGATTTTGATGTTCTGTGTGATACTGTCGGCATTATCAGCATTGTTGCCTGAAACATATAGGAAATAATGGTATTAGTTTATGTTATTTATCAGAAAAATAAAGTACTTTTCTTACGCTCTCTCCCGATGCTGGGAACAGTGTATATCTATATCATTATATTTGTTCCTGCCCCATGGGACTAAGTTGTTGCAATTTTTGTACAGATTTTCAGTGACAGGAATCAAGAAAAAGTTCTAATGAAATTAGTAAGAGGGTGTTGTGACACTTTTTTACAAGAATATACAAGCGTAGGATCCGTGGTGGGAGGCAAGGCGGACCCCCACACTTTTTGACACACCAAATATTACTGAAAAAAAATGAAAAATGAAAGAGGATACTGACTATGTCCTAGACTATCAGACGATAGAAAAGCCTTTCTTGCTTGTCACTTTCAGAAGTTGCCCCCAACTTTTCAGTTCACCCTACGCACTGAATAGCATTACCCCATTTGACAACAATTTCTCCTCGAAATTTCTACAAATTGAAGTTATCGTACACTCCTTGTCCACTTTGCGCGCGGTTTTTTGCTCGGTGTTTCACAGAAGCAGATGTTAATGAAGTTTAAAACATCCATCTGCTGCTTTTGTTTCAAAAACTGCACGCGCCAGGGAACTAGCAGATGTTGCTAATGACGATCAATATTACAGCAATAAAAGACAAACAAATGAAAATCAATCAGAGGTGATATATTTGCTCCATCCAAGCTGACCTGTACACTTTGACAATAAATACGGTTATCATATGACTATAACATTTTTCTATTTCTCATTGGCTACAAGCATACAGAATCTTCGGACCGTCATCCCCTGTGTCAGAAGCCCGAATTACAATTATATCTTACCATAAAAGTAGGCAGTACTATACACACAGTTCTTTTTAACGACCTTGAAATGCGAAAAAGATATTTATTACACTTCTAAGTCGATAGTAGTTTTGCTTTTCGTATGATGATTTTTTGAGGGTATATATTTTTGGATGGAGGAAGCTTTAATGTGTTTTCCCCGTTTCTAATATTTGTTATACCCATTATTACGAGTTAAGCGCCCTTTTCTGGACAACTTTCGAGTTGAGTGCCCATTTCTGGACAAATTTGTTTTCAATTGAAAAAGGAAGAAGAAAGAAAAAACGTTATTTGGAATGCTTTTGTAGTTGGGAGGTAATAATTAATCATTTTGAGACCATAAGAAACAGCATTTTAGGGGGAAATTTGTATGATATAAACTTATCCACTAAGTTTATTAAAAATGATTCAATCAAATGCATTGGAGATGTTTAATCTTCTAAAGGTGTAGGAATTAAATGCACTCTCTATATTTTCTATAATTTTCTATTGTTTCCTTGTGTATATTATTGTTTTCAAAAGTCCTCTCTCACGGTTAAAAAACTTCGCAAACAGACAGTACATTAGAAAGATGTAGAAGAATTTCCAAAGAAAACACGGTATCCTGAAGGCTTCGCGTATAATTTTAGACATGACAAGACATCGACCTTTTAAAAAAGAAAGTCGAGAAACTGTTCAATCCTATTAAATATTGACAATATACGGTAAGAGATTATCACGCCTTTCTATAACCATACTAATGTATAGAAAATTGGATCATTACTGTCAGTGAAAATGACGACTTCATTTATTGATTATGAATTTAAAAAATACTGGACAATAAAATCAAAGGAAATTCTATTTCCAACACAATTTACCAGTCAGCACTTGTTAAATTAATTGGTTTGTGTTCTTTTATAAGTGTTTCTTGAATATGTTCTCTGTCACGTTGCTAGGATTAGGCAGCCTGCTAATTAGAAAGAGCCTGGAGCAACCGATTGATTATTTCCCTAACACTGTATCCAACAGATGTTTCGCCGGTCGATAATTTCTTATATTAGTTTTATTCTAATTGGAATAAGGTATTGTAGGACCGACATTCACACCTGCTTCGGGTCATTTGATCTTCCCAACGTCAAACAATAACGTCCTCCGCATTCATCGATCTCTCTGCTACAAAAATCATCCAGCATATCAAGAAAAGATTGAATCGAATCATCTCCAAGCCTAATGTTGCATATGTGCTTTGGGTTGTAAGCATCGATTTCTTCAGCTTCCTTTGTTTATCTTGTTTTATTTTCGACATCTGCGTAAGTCTGGCAAAACATCTGGATAATTAAAATTGCAAATGACACAAATCTCATTTTTTTGTAACGTCAACATCCCACGAAATTCTGATCAATAATGACATATATAATAGTTGAATAAAAAGTTGAAAACTGCTTGTCATTCAT